AAAGTAGCTTTGCATCTTGCATCACTCATTGCCTTAATGCATTCTAAATAAGAACAATTTGACAATTTACTTCTTCAACTGATAAGGAATGTATCCATTCATATACCTCAGAGCATTTTCTTCTACTTTACTCAATGCGTTGTCATTTACCAGCAGTGTGCTTACTGTACTGTGACATGCTTTAAGTGCCATAAACATCATTTTCATAATATATATCTGTTCTAATCTGAAAACATCATCACTTGCACTATTATCAGGCACTAAAGCTTAAATGTACATTATTGCTAAAGTATGTTGATTTGAATCAGTACATAAATTATAGAATGTAATTCAAACTCATTTCCACTTGACGGCAAATATTTCGTGTCAGCAGCTACAATTGCTTGCCACAGGCCAGTCCCTATCTTGTATAGGTACTCTGAGTAACTCATTACCTGTTTGGGTGGACAATGACTGACTTGCTACTTTCGCTAAAGACACTACTGCATCTCCATGTATATTTCCTTTGAAGAAAAACTTTGGATCTACAGTAATGACTTTTAAATACCTCAGAAGCTAATGGTTCCAAATCAGCCAGATAGTCTTCTGCAGAATACTTTGGTAATGTTCTGATCATTTCTGTAAAGAAAACAAATGATAAATATTACCTAACAATATTGTTTAATTTTGACCAACTTCCTCGCCCCAAAAAAATTCAATGCTACCAAAAATACATTCATTTCTGCAAAGAACTGTGAATGGGTAAATTCTACCACTACATCCAAGTTTTGCTACCTGGTTTTTCCAACAATAAATATTGAATAGTGTATTACTGACTATAATAATTTAACCTCTCCTTCTCAGATTGTTATAAGTGTTCTCAAGTCCCAATTTCTCCAAGGCATAAATGTAACCCTTAAATCCTCTCTGTATAACCCAAAAGGGATGTAATCTATTTTTGTCCATTCATATACCAAAGAAATCTTACTTTTTTGGGTTGTTGCTTCGTTTGTTTTACTGGCTCTGACCCCTTAGATGTTGATGCTTTAGGTGCAGTGGTATCTTCAGTCTTCGTTTATGAGATGCTGAAAATGAATATAAACACATTTTACTAGGAATTTGACAAAACAGCAACTGTACCATCAGTTTTTTTTTAAAATAACAATGATGTTTCTTACGAAATTCACACCTTCATTGTATTCACGTTATTGCCTTTAAAACACATGTGAACACACACAGGAAATGTCACAGTCAAACTCTACTCATAAGATATTTCAAGGTAAATATGTGGGTCACCCATTATTTCCTCCAAATCAATATGGGAATCGTCGAACAAAAGAAGATCTTTGGAAAAGCTATCTGGCATGTTTATTTCCGCGTTTAAGACTGCTCTTCGGTGAAAGGTGAAAGTGCCATGTATTGCAATACTTTGTGGGAAAAATGCTAATGATTTCTACGCTCTTAGCTCTGTAGTCATAATAGAACGACGCGGCACCGTCCTAGTAGAGTGACTGTTGTGTGTGTTTCTTTTGTACTACTTTAACGACGTTTACGAACCCCAAGGTGAAGCGCCAGCGAGTCTTCAACAACCAGAACACTAATCGGACTCACCCTGTTATATCTCACGATTCTATTGTAATATGTTGTTTGTATAATTTTTGTTTTGGCTCTCTTGTATAATATCCAAGCTAATCCTAAACTGTGTCCCAGCATATTGTGTAATTATTGTATTATTATCACTTTATACGTTTTATATTTCTGAAGTGTGTTACCGTGGTTGTAGGTCTGGGTGATTAATAAGGTTTAGCGTTATTGTAACTGTTAAGGGCTGACTACTTGAACACTCTGCCCTGTTTTATGTAAATTGTATAGGATTTTGCTCCTATTCAAATTTCGATACAATGTCATTGGTTGTTACTCGTACAGGACGGGTCAACACACATTTCGCTGATTTTATTTATGCTTCTTTCGTCGAGTGTGTGAGCAACCCCTACGTAGTTTGTAATCTCATGTAGTTCAATTTTGTTATTCCGTAGTGTTGACTACCAGTATACCAGATTGTTAGTGCGCCCTCTATTGTAGTTGAGGGATTATTGTTGTCATTTTCCACCAGTGTATACTTTGAAAGTGCATTCGTTGTTGTGTAAAATACAATACATTCGCTAAAGCGATAAATATCCCTATGTGTCTTAGATTGTTGTACGTTGTGAGACTTGTATGTGGGTGAGACCGACTGGACATCTGGCGGACGTACCCCTGGTAAATTGTACCCGTGCTAGTCTATTTATATTATTTAGCTGGTAGCACATCGGAATAATGCAACATCAATTCTTACTGCGATTTTCATTCCTATGTTAGAAGAATTAGTCTGGTGTCTATTGCCAATAGATCTGTCGATCGGTGAGGGTTTCAGATGAATACATGAATTGTTTGATTTGGTGTGAAAGAACACCACAGACATGGTCGCTTGTCCTACAGTATTTTGTAATTAAGACAGATAGCATTTAGCTCATATTAGCATAAATTCAGGATTGAGGATCTGTTCATTCATTAGATCACAGGAAAAGGCTGATGTGCAGTGTAATAACTAATCAACGGTATTCACTACGATGTAAGTAATTCAATGGTAAGTTCATCCAATCACTGATAATATGTATTGTATGTTTACCAGCGAGTCTCTAGTTTCTCTCAGTTTAATTGTCTTTACTGTATAACATGCATAAAACCGTCATGTTGCCGGGACGCCCTGACAATCGTTTGATTAGTTTTTCCTGAACAGAATTTTGCGTTTACATTTATACTATTATTTTCCATGTTAATTCAAGCATGTTTTATCTGCATAACTAACATATCTATCCCAGTATTATTTGATATTCTGAAATTGTGTGCAGACTTTTTTATTCTAGCCCATATTGATATATATCATATACATCAGCAGTTGAGATAAGCACTGGAGTAAATAAATATGACAAAGACAATTGCTTTTTTCAATTAAAATCAAATTTATTCACGTCTACATCATGTGCCATGTTCTCTGATAAAACGACCTATAAACAAAGAAAATACATCCGTATCAGTATAGTATAATTGTGGAATAGAAGGAATGGCAATCAGTATATTCATATCAGGCAACACATCACATGAGACCTGGCAATGTTACATTCATATTATTTAAATTGGACAAACACACCCAAGCAAAAACCTTTAGCTAGGATTTCACTGAAAATAACTTTAGCTAGGATGATAATGCATATGCCAAGTCAGACAGTTTAGTTCTAACATAAAATAAATATTAACTTGCTTTTACTTATTGTGTATATTTAGTCACAATATAACAACAAATTTGGTGATCCATTGGGGTCATTTACTGCACCAATAGTAGAATCCAGAGCAACAATTTTATTTCTACAGCTGGCATTGTCGTTACAAGTGCCAGCACCCAGATGTACGGCGGCAACACCTTTGAAAAAAAAATCAAATTTGGATTATACAAAATACCAAAATAAATAAACAAATAAGGCACAGACTTTAAAGCTGTTTTTAATAAACCTACTTTAAGGTATTCTTACCAGAGACATGAGGACATGCCATGGAGGTTCCACTTATGGTTTCATAACAAGAATCACACGTATACCAGGCGCTTCTAACAGCAACACCAGGTGCAAATATGTCAAGTCGCCCCAGTTGGAGAAACCTGCTCGATAGTCGTTAACGTCGGTTGCACCAACAGTAATAGCCTAAATTGGATTAAAGTGCGTCATATGGCATTACTGGTTATAGTCACTTAATGTATTTTTTTCGTAATATATAACATTTTGTACCTATTATCCCAAACCAAGTAGTTTTAATTCTAGTGTATCGATTTGATTATTATATGTGTCCGATATGTATACGTACATCTTCAATTCTTGCAGGTGAAGTATTGTAAGCATCTTGGTCATCATTGCCAGCTGCGATTGAAGCCGTATAACCGTCATCGATAACTCATTGTACGGCATTGTCTAGTGATATACTAGCACCAGCACCAACAGACATGGATACAACAGACTTAGTTGGAGTTTTTCCTCCAGCAACTATTTCATCAAGGCCTATAAATAACATAACACAAGTTGAATAATAAAGAAATCTTCACTTAAACTATTTTTCATCAAATTAAGATCTACTAATTTCACATTTCACTTATTTGTCTGACGATATTTATGTCATTCGCAAGATGATGCATCCGAAACATAGTATCATATCTTGGGGGTCACTAGTTCATTCCACCTACCAGATGGTTTAACGATTTCTTAATTCAACGACAAGTTCTATAAAAAATCAGATTTTAGTCAATCCATGTAAACCCTAGCTTACCGTCAACCATGTTTTAAATAAGACCACTTCCCTGACAGTTCAATACTCGTATATTGTAAAAATAATGTTTCTAGCGCAATTGCAACTGTGTTACCTCCTACTGTTCCACCACAATGGGTGACATGGCCGTTACAGTCTAGACCCTATAAATGAAACAATATAAGCGAACATTCAAAACGTACAAAACACTCACCGTAATTTAAAATCATCAAGACATGCATAGCATTTGGTAAATGTGTTTGTGCTACTATGAAAATATGTGATACATACATAGTTGCTTGAATCGTAGTCCCAGAAGTATGATGCTCGGTTATCAAACTCATCATGTGTCGCAGACCAGTGTATGCGTTGGCACCAGAACCAGTACCTGGACAAAACGAAAAAGGTGCGTGTTCGTTATTTTCTGTAGCTGTTGGAACTTGACACGTAATGTAAAACAAATTGTTGATTTATTTTTATATCTTGTTTCTACAGTAGCTTGTTATTTGCAAGGGGTGGGTAGTGTTACAAAAGCTGGTACTGTAAAGTTATCACGCAACCGAGTGTCTGCCGTAATCACATCATATTATGTCATGTGTTTTATCTATGAAAATGAACTGATACCATATGATAGGATAACTTGTGATATTTCCTAAAATGTTTGATAACAACCGTACTGCTAGAGTGCTCACCATAAAGGTTCATTCTCCCATCAAGGTTGTTGCTGCGTTGATCTGTACGGTCCATTCCCCATTCCACTGTAGCTCTTGTGATACCATCATCTTCAATATACTCATTTTCATCCATATTACGAAGCTATAACGGTATACCATTTTACAGTTACCATTGAAATTATAAACACATGCGTTATGTCGTGATATCTTAAGATTATTAAGAAGTGTCGGTATTTTCACAAATCACTTTACGGTATTTTATAACAACTGGAATCCATCTTGCTTGCAAAATCTGAGATAGATACTCCGTCCTGTAATTTGAATAATATATCATATATAACTAATAATTGTTGTAATAAAATTTTTATGGAGACCACAAAAAATATATATGTTTTGAACTGCGTATAATTCTTATTACCTAATTCACCACCTATGAAGATATTGTCCGCAACTAAGCCATAGACACGACACGGCCGCCGCTACGAGCACGGCGAGGATCAAGATACGCATTTCAAAAATTATGGTCTGTGAATGAAATCGCAAAATAAACACGCTGTACATATACAAGTTGACTGGATCTGGACCTAATTAGCACGAGTTTGATACATATTCTTATTCAAAGTGAACTTACCTTGTCACGAATGAGTACAATATTGGCTAATTGAGACTTTTACCTCATTATATAGTCTAACAACACAGAGAGGTAACAATAGATACGTCTCGGAAAGTCATAGTTGTGTAAAATTTGATTCACTAAAATAGAACCCTAATTAAAAGACAGTAATAAATTAAATGTTGTTTTAATGAAGCCCCCTATAATTAGATTTGCGTACCAGGTGACGCTGGCAGGGAGTTAAGGGAGTCTGCCACAATAATTAAAACTATTAATATCAAAAATAGACCTAAATGCCTTAATACATAAGAAAAACACACATTGCATGTTTTTATCTATGTATACACTTGTTTGGTTCTCACGTAAATCATCTCATTATCAGTGATTAACAATATGAACTAGTTCATGGACATTTCTGCCCACCTGAAGTAAACAACCGAGTTAAATAAATTACTGTAAAAAGGGTTATTTATTCACTGGGTTTTAATTTTGCTTATTTCGCTGACTAAAAAATGCGCTAGTTAAAGCCCAGTGAATATGTGAAATTTAGCATAGAACACATTATCTAAATGATAAAACCGTGAATTTAAAACCCACTGAACTTGCCTGAAATGGTAAATCAGCGAAATTTAAACCCAGTGAAAATTAATCATTTTACAGTAATTATTTTAAATACAAACGATCACATATGTATTACAACATGGAACGTGGGATTCGAACACGCGATCACGACACGCGCTTCCTATCCTCGGGGTGGAGCTACGTCACAAGACACTCCACGTTGCTAAGACGCGCACCACTCTACATGCATTTCTATGGGCTCTTTTTGCGCTGCTGTGGAACGCTGGCCGAGTCGGCGAAAATTCGAGAAAACAACACAAACTCAACTTTGAAGTAATCCTGAACAGCCAAATTTAGATATGTTACACACGTAGGGGTAATCGTGTTATACTGTTCAGGGGAGTCTCAACCACCATCCCAAAGTACCGTTTTCTGCGAGTTTTTGGCCTTTGTTTTCACCGCCAGGGTTGCCAAGCGATGAAAATGCCCGGATGTCCGCCCCGAGGATACCAAGCTGTCCTTGACATCACAGATAACAAACACACCCCTGTGCTAGTATTCTTTAAGTACTTTAACCTTTCATCCATTCACCCTTTAATAATATCAGGAACTCGCTTACAGGTCTAGTGCAGCTCTAATGATTGCTGGGATGAGAGAAACTATGTATATAATGTTTCCTCGGCCATTTCTGCGTTGGATATTGACAGCTGAAAAAATAACCTTGTAAGAAAGATAAGATGCAATATGGGAGATAATTTGTACCATCACACATGCGTATTGGAGAATGCAGCTGTGAATTAGAGTAGCTACAAAAATAAACTTTATTTCGTGATATATGATGATCCAGTGTATGTATTTTATTCATATTAGATCTCCATAAAACCATATGTAGGTGATTAGTTTAAACGATGTCCCAAGAAAGAAACAATTGTAAGATTAGATTTAAATGAATGTAATATTAATATTAAACAATCTGCCGCAATTGCTTTATTAGTAGAGCATGTGTCCATTGCCGAAATCAGTCACATCGTAATGATTCTGCCTACAGTAAATGAAATTGAAGGGGCGATTCTAATAAAGCAAATACGTAAAACAACACGTAACCCCCAAAACGTCCAACGCTGAACCACGCTATTAGTTGGAATGCACACAGCCTCACCCCTCACTTATCTTAACGTAGAAAATAAGCTGATTATTTAACTAGTTCATATTGTTAATTACTAATAGTGAGGTGAGGTACGTGCGAACCAAACAAATGTATACATGTGTTGACAATGCAATCACAATTTTAAAATCAATTAGGTCTATTTTTGATATTAATAGTCTTAATTATTGTGTCGGACCAGCGTCACCTGATACGCAAATTAAGCTATAGGGGCATATTTAAAACAAAATTTAATTTATTACAGTCTTTCAATTAGGGTTCTATTTTAGTTAATCAAATTTTACACAACTATGACTTTCCGAGACGTGTCCATTGTCTAGTACAGTTATATTTGACGTTCAGAACAGTTGGGATCAGCGTATCCGAATGACTATTTTATCCGCGATGAGCTAGATAGGATAGCGAAACATTTCATCAAGAGCCCCTAGCCTGTGATGGCAAAAACGTGTCCATTACGTTGCTTTCAAACGTTTTCCACCTTCTATTACTAAAGCATTCATACCCTGTACAGAGCCAACGCCAACTTGGTATACGTATACAAGGAGAGTAACCACCCACCTACCATCACAAAGAATACCACCGATCGCGACCGGGATTAACAAGTGATTATAATCGATATTGTCAGATAAGAAGATATTTGACATCGCGGCGCCACCCTACCAAAGAGCTCTACGCGAAAGCGGCTACAAACACCAATTAAAATTTGGGCCCCCCCCCCCGGATTGAAAAACGGCCGTGCAGTAATGTCCTTGGGTTTAACCCAACATACAGCTGCAATGTCCGTAACAGCATCGGCAAGCGATTCCTGAATTTATATCGACAAGTGCTTCCAGAGTGGTAATAATCTCAGGACAATTTCTAACAGAAATATCATCAAAGTCAGCTATAGCTGTATGAGCAATATAAAAGATACTATCAACAGTAAAAACAAACAGTCAGTCACATGATTTTGCCGCCATCTTTGATTGTATTGACCAAAAGTTAATGCCTCAACTGATTAACTTAATATTACATATATAGCGTATATGGCCGAAGCTTCCCACGGACACAAATAAAAGAACGTTTAAAACAGTTACATGATTTGCCCGCCATCTTAGAAACGGTCAAAATAACCGCTATTAAGAACATTTGCTTCTCATGAGTGCTTCAATCGACCAACTTGATACTTTTTATAACATGATAGATATAGATAAGGCATATCACGAGTATATAAATAATTTTCATCAGTCTTGTATATCATATATTGTATTAAAAATATGGTGCAATATGGAGAAGATTTTTAATATCGTTTGATTCGGATTGTTGAAGGCGAACACTACTACGCTTGTACACTTGTTCTACACATCAAAACAAAAAGCACACGTACTTGTTCGAGTATGTCATTTTTCAATCGAACGAGCTGCGAGCTACAAGTTGCAATGTATTCATCAACATACAGCATTCAAAAGCAACAACTTACATGTTTTCAGCAATATTGCATATTTAAATACAGGCATGTTATAAAAAAAATATGTCATTTCAATTTGATTTTTACGATGTCCCAAAATTTTGCAATTTTAACGAATACAATATTTACGCCTAATAAATAGTGAATCATAATTTATCATAGTAACGCATGCACTTACATAAATGACAAAGATGTTTCCATTGTCATAATTTAATAAATCCGCATACATTAATTAAAGGAAATTGTTTGGATTGTGTGCACCCAATGGAGTGGCGATTTTAATAATGCAGATACGGTAACATTCCCCTCTCAAACCATGACATGAGTAGACTATTGAACAAGCGAACAGAATGTACAGGAAGGGGTCGGTCGCTGTTTTCTTGGGGGGGGGGTCACTGATTTTCGTGCAAGTGTTGAATAGAGAGTTACAGTAATTTGTGCAGGCATAAGGGGGAGGGTCGCATTTTTTCGTGCAATGCAACCCTTATGACATAACAGTAAATCTAGCCGAAATTTTATGCACAGCCTGGTTGACTGTGTTGCCTCAACAAACTTCTATTCATTCTCATTCAGCAGTTGTATTTACATTGAATGACGTGTTAAAATCTTAAGTTATATTCAGATCTATGCTGGGGACCCACTGTCTGATGATTACAATAATGCACCAGATATGGGAGAAAAACAACAAGCTGCGCGAACAGAAAATTGATTGGCGACTAGAAATTCACCACTGGAGAAAATAATATTAATGTACTGCTGGATTAAAACACATAGATTTAATGTAGCGTATTATTATGATATAGTATGTATTTACCATACCAATAGCAACGGTTTCTTTACATGTATGTTAGCAGATTGTAATTAATATGCAAATATAAGTTTTGCACTACATTACTTAATACCCTCAAATATGACCTTTAAAATGTTATTATCTCAAGCCATGATTACTCAATGTAAGAAGAATTAAGAATTAATTGATCTACCAGTGGTGTGGTTAGCACCTTTCTACTATAAACGTACAACCAGTTATCTACGGTGTTCATTCACATTACACTGCAATGTTTGGCTACAAGGCAGAACTTTCTTCCCCACTCACCCTTCCCTTCACAAATTATTTTTATCTTTTTAGTGTAGGTTTTATAGTATGATTGAAGAATTTTCTTCACATGGATGTATTTATGGCAAGCTAGTGGAAACTTTTGTCGGTATGGTGGCTGTGCTGGCATGCAGGCATAAGCCTACCTATTTAACAAGTCATTGTGAATGACATAGTCCCCGGTGGAATTAGGGGAAATGTTGTTATTCATGCCAAAAATAAAGTTACAGACCAAAATCATAGTTAGTAATTTAGAGTAAATAAATGGCTGGTCTAGTATCAACAGAAATTAGATGTATAAAATTATACTTCCGAAATCTTAAACAGGATTGTTTTTGACCCGATTGTGCAACGAATTGTCATGAACGTGTGTCATGTATAATTTGAAGAGAAAAAAAAACATGTCAACAATATATTTTGAAAAAATCAAGATGACTGCCCGTTTGATTCAAACACGGAACATATCATCAGGGACATGTATTTCAACATACACATCAAATTTATATCAAATTTGAACAAAAACTGACAAATCTTGTCGAAGAAACCACATTTTTCAAAAAAACATGTATTCCTATATTGATGATGTATGTGCCAAACATGAATGAAAAAAAAACAATCAATTAATTCTTAAACATTCCAAAAAACAAAGTGGCTGCTAATCGGCCATCTTTGAGCCAATCCTGAAACGAATCAACATAGACATGTATCATAACAAGTATAATGTATTTACCAAATTTGAACACAAACTGACAAAGCTTGTATAAAATACCACATTTTCAAAAAACAAAATGGCTGCCAGTCAGCCATCTTTGATCCGATCACAAAACGAATCATTATAAACTGATAATGTCATGTAATATATCTTAAAATGTATAATATATGTACAAAAGTTTAAGAAAAACTGACAAAGCAGGCATACAAAAAATGGCTGCCAGTCAGACATATTAGATTTAATCTGCGAACTACTGCATGTGCATATGTCCCAGGTAAAATACTAGGCACATGCAGAGAATGAACAGAACTGGTTCACAGGATTCTGAAATATAACTCTGGACAGAAGGACAGACAGAGACACCATTATAAGCCCTTGTTTCGAACTTTGATGGGGGACTAATAAAGCTGGCATTCCATGATTGCCCAAACTTATATCTTGGTATCGTGTGCATTTTCATAGGTTCATTGTTTAGGTAGGCTTTGAATCATATATATTATTTCATGAAACATCACAGTGATTCATACATAATACATTGAAGATGATTTGGTGAATATGATTCTTTTTTTCATTCACATATTTATACTGTGTGGCGGGCAAGTCTTCTAACAAGATTTGGATAAAAGGCTTCTCGATAGATTTCCAATTAATGCTAGAATTTGTTAAACCAGTAAAATTTTGCTGAATATCAGTGTTGTTATCAACAAAGCGTATATCTAGGGCATATAATAAGAATATAGAATGGTGTTATAGAACATGTGTATCTCGTATTGTAAATAATGCACACGATTCAATACACGACACTCATAAATGTGCCAGTAAAAGTGTGTATGTATCACCCTAATTTGGTATATACACAGTATCATACATTGTTCTCTTCTCAATGAGAGCGTGGCTAACTGATTGAAGTAGAAAGTTCTATAAGCTGTGTAGTAGAACATCAATTAGTATGTATAGATATATATATATATATATATATATATATATATATATATATATATATATATATATATATATATATATATATATATATATATATATAGTTTTAATATATGTACTATCCTTACCCTTAGAAAGAGGGAGGTCACAATTTTTCATGCACCATTCAAGGGGGAGGTCAGCAAATTATATGCAAATGTTTGTGTAGGGTCATATATTTTTATGTACACGACTTTCAAAAAACACCGACCTACCACCCTGTCCTTTTTTGTCCAGTCCCTTATCGTAATTGACGTAATGGAGAAAAATTTGCTGAGGAAAGGATTACGGTAAAAGGATGAGTTATGTGCGAACCAAACAAGTGAATGCTTTGATAACAAAATTGCTATGTGTGTGTTTTTTTATCACCGGAGATGCTTGTCAATGTAATCGCTATTTTTGACAATCAATTGGGTCTATGTTAGATAAAGATAGTTTATCATTGATTTGGAAATTAGGTTACCTCTCTGTGTTGTTAGACTATATAAAGAGCTGGAAGCCTCAATTATCCAATATTGTACTCATTCGTGACAAGGTAAGTTTACTTTGAATAAGATTATGTATCAAAGTCGTGCTAACTACGTCCAGATCCAGTCAACTTGTATATGTACAACGTGTTTATTTTGCGATTTGATTCACAGACCATTATTTTGAAAATGCGTTTCTTGATTCTCGCCGTGCTCGTTGCAACAGCCGTAGCGACGGCCCCTTACTACAGGGTCCGTGATGCCGTAGAAGGTCGTTATTTGATCAAATTGAAGGTAAGTCATTATCCATACACTGTAATACTACAGGGATTTATAAGATACGCATTCACAATTATGAAATCTATGAGCAATATCTCAAATTTTATTTATTGAATGATTGATAGATTTTTTGAGCTGGTTACGATTTCTCAAATATAAAATATAGGGACTGTAACAATAAATTCTAATTGGCCAGAAAACTCCAAAATACATGTGAATTCAACAATATTCAGCCATCACACGTCATAGCAGGAATAAAGCATACAATGAAGTAAATCATTTTAAGAAATCAATGATATCCAGCAGATTTTTCCCACTGTGTAAGTAATGAAATCACTGTATTCGACACATAAAAACAGTGCTATTGCGTAATTCATAATAAATTGCATGTGTATTTTCGGTTATCTGCATTGAATTGTTTAAACCCTACATTTAAAATTTGCATCATCACAGATATTTTAATCTAGTCATTACTGCTTTAAGGAAATAGATAGACATATATAATTGTACATAATAATTGAACGTTATAAAGAAGTAGCCTTTGTTTGTATAGGCTATTACTTTATACATTTCCACTAAACACGGTGATTATGTCATCCATCAACATTGAAAAGCAGCGACATTTGTAATTCTCACTGGAATACTACTACTGGCCGTTAACACTGCGCTTCTTCTTTACATGGAAAAGCATGGCGAATTATGACAAAAATGCGATATTTTTCATTTTTCGCATCGTGTACATTTATTTTAGACATTTATGTGCAAAATTTGCAAAATAAACGAGTATCTAAACGACGACTTTGAGATGCAGTTATGATACACCTACATCAATGTTGTCGCCACAGTGATTGTTTATTCCACAGAACAGTTCCAAATGCAGCGGCTACACGAGGCAAAATGGGTCGTTTCGGGAACTTGAAGAAAGGTCAATTCGCTTCAAATATGAATCTTTATCAGTTGCATACTTTATTTTATGATTTATTGATTGTGGTCAATACATAATTGTGTATGCCTATACTCTGTGTCGCTCAGTTGCGGGCAATATCTCCATAGGTGGTGAATTAGGTAATAACAGTTATACGCAGTTCAAAACATATATATTATTTGCGGTCTCCATTAAGATTTTATTAGAACAATTATTACTTCCATGATATATTATTCAAATTACAGGACGGAGTATCTATCTCAGATTTTGCGAGCAAGATGGCTCCCTTGGGTGCTTCAGTAGTTAAAAAATACCGTAAAGTGCTCAATGGAATTGCTATTTCAGCACAGCCGAAGATTATCACTAGTGTAAGATCACATTTAATGTTTATTTGTTTGTTTGTTTCTACCATGAAGAACTAAATTCAATAATACGTACGACGTTCAGATAAATAACGGCAAAAAACATAAAATAGCTTTATTTGAGCGAAATATTACGTCCCACCATTATATTAGCATGGAATATTTGTCAAAACATTACATATGACTTTTGTAGTATTTATTGTTAACTGTTGTATATATCACTTTTTTAAACTAGTGATTTAGTATAAGTGCATTTTCAGTGTTTTCTAACGAACAAATTCTATTTACTAACCGACTTGTGTGATATGAATGTGACATCTACCTGAAATTTCTCAATGAGGTTTTATTTGTTTTTAAGTATTTTTGGACCAGGTATAATTTCTGGATGATGTAGCAATGGTTGTTTTGTTCAAAGTTTTTTGTTTTGCTTCCAATTGCAAGTACATTGGAATGAGTAATTTGTGAAAATACCGATACTTTTTGCATTGGACTGAGGCAGTTTACATACGTTGTGTTCCGATGTCACATAATTCTAATAATCTTAAGATATCACGACATAACGCATGTGTTTATAATTTTAATGGTAACTCTAAATTGGTATACCGTTATAGCTTCGTAATATGGATGAAATTGAGTATATTGAAGATGATGGTATCACAAGAGCTACAGTGGAATGGGGAATGGACCGTACAGATCAACGCAGCAACAACCTTGATGGTAGAATGAACCTTTATGGTGAGCACTCTAGCAGTAGGGTTGTTATCAAACATTTTAGGAACTATCACAAGTTATCCTATGGTATCAGTTCACTTTCACAGATAAAACACATGACATAATATGATGTGATTACGACAGACTGTCGGTTGCGTGATAACTTTACAGTACCGGTTTTTGTGATACTACCCATTCCTCACAAATAACAAGCTACTGTAGAAACAAGATATAAAAATATAAAATAAGATATAAAATAATGTGTTTTTAAGTTCCAACAGCTACAGAAAATAACGAATACGCGCTTTTTTGGTTTTGTCCAGCTACTGGTTCCGGTGCCAACGCATACATCTTGGACACTGGTTTGCGACACTCTCATAATGAGTTTGATAACCGAGCATCATACTTCTGGGACTACGATTCAAGCAACAATGTATGTATCACAGATGTTCATAGTGGCAAAAACACAGTTACCATATGCTATGCATGTCTTGATGATTTGAAGTTACGGTTAGTGATTTGTACGTTTTGAATGTTCGCTTATATTATTTCATTTATAGGGTGAAGACTGTAACGGCCATGGCACCCATTGTGGTGGAACAGTAGGAGGTAACTCAGTTGGCATTGCCCCAGACACATTATTGTACAGTGTACGAGTATTGAACTGTCAGGGAAGTGGTCTTATTTCAAACATGGTTGATGGTAAGCTGGGGTTTACATCGATTGACTAAAATCTGATTATTCATAGAACCTGTCGTTGAATTAAGAAATCGTTATACCATCTGGTAGGTGACCCCCAAGATGTGATGCAATGTTTCGAATGCATCGTCTTGCGAATGATATCAATATCGCAAAAGTCAGACAAATAAGTAAAATGTGAAATTAGTAAATCTTAATTTGGTGAAAAATAGTTTAGTATAATATGAAGATTCCTCAATGCGAGTTATGTTATTTATAGGCCTTGATGAAATAGTTGCTTGGGGAGACACTCCATCCAGGTCTGTTGTATCCATGTCTGTTGGGGCTGGTGCTAGTTTATCACTAGACAATGCCGTACAACGAGTTATCGATGATGGTTATACGGCTTCCATCGCAGCTGGCAATGAAAACCAAGATGCTTGCAATACTTCACCTGCAAGAGTTGAAGATGTACGTATACATATCGGACACTTATAGCAATCAAATCGATACACTAGAACTAGAACTCCTTGGTTTTGGATAATAGGTTCGAAATGTTATATACTAGTATTACGAAAAAAATACATTAAGTGACTATAACAAGTGATGCCATATGACGTACTTTAATCCGATTTAGGCTATCACTGTTGGGGCAACCGACGTTAACGACAATCGAGCAGGCTTCTCCAACTGGGGCAGCTGTCTTGACATATTTGCACCTGGTGTTGCTGTTAGAAGCGCCTGGTATACGTGTGATTCTTGTTATGAAACCATAAGTGGAACCTCCATGGCATGTCCTCATGTCTCTGGTAAGAATACCTTAAAGTAGGTTTATTAAAAACAGCTTTAAAGTCTATGCCTTATTTGTTTATTTATTTTGGTATTTTGTATAATCCAAATTTGATTTTTTTTTCAAAGGTGTTGCCGCCGTACATCTGGGTGCTGGCACTTGTAACGACAATGCCAGCTGTAGAAATAAAATTGTTGCTCTGGATTCTACTATTGGTGCAGTAAATGACCCCAATGGATCACCAAATTTGTTGTTATATTGTGACTAAATATACACAATAAGTAAAAGCAAGTTAATATTTATTTTATGTTAGAACTAAACTGTCTGACTTGGCATATGCATTATCATCCTAGCTAAAGTTATTTTCAGTGAAATCCTAGCTAAAGGTTTTTGCTTGGGTGTGTTTGTCCAATTTAAATAATATGAATGTAACATTGCCAGGTCTCATGTGATGTGTTGCCTGATATGAATATACTGATTGCCATTCCTTCCCATTCCACAATTATACTATACTGATGTATTTTCTTTGTTTATAGGTCGTTTTATCAGAGAACATGGCACATGATGTAGACGTGAATAAATTTGATTTTAATTGAAAAAAGTAATTGTCTTTGTCATATTTATTTACTCCAGTGCTTATCTCAACTGCTGATGTATATGATATATATCAATATGGGCTAGAATAAAAAAAGTCTGCACACAATTTCAGAATATCAAATAATACTGGGATAGATATGTTAGTTATGCAGATAAAACATGCTTGAATTAACATGGAAAATAATAGTATAAATGTAAACGCAAAATTCTGTTCAGGAAAAACTAATCAAACTATTGTCAGGGCGTCCCGGCAACATGACGGTTTTATGCATGTTATACAGTGAAGACAATTAAACTGAGAGAAACTAGAGACTCGCTGGTAAACATACAATACATATTATCAGTGATTGGATGAACTTACCATTGAATTACTTACATCGTAGTGAATACCGTTGATTAGTTATTATACTGCACATCAGCCTTTTCCTGTGATCTAATGAATGAACAGATCCTCAATCCTGAATTTATGCTAATATGAGCTGAATGCTATCTGTCTTAATTAAAAAATACTGTAGGACAAGCGACCATGTCTGTGGTGTTCTTTCACACCAAATCAAACAATTCATGTATTCATCTGAAACCCTCACCGATCGACAGATCTATTGGGAATAGACACCAGACTAATTCTTCTAACATGGGAATGAAAATCCCAGTAAGAATTGATGTTGCATTATTCCGATGTGCTACCAGCTAAATAATATAAATAGACTAGCACGGGTACAATTTACCAGGGGTACGTCCGCCAGATGTCCAGTCGGTCTCACTCACATACAAGTCTCACAACGTACAACAATCTAAGACACATAGGGATATTTATCGCTTTAGCGAATGTATTGTATTTTACACAACAACGAATGCACTTTCAAAGTATACACTGGTGGAAAATGACAACAATAATCCCTCAACTGCAATAGAGGGCGCACTAACAATCTGGTATACTGGTAGTCAACACAACGGAATAACAAAATTGAACTACATGAGATTACAAACTACGTAGGGGTTGCTCACACACTCGACGAAAGAAGCATAAATAAAATCAGCGAAATGTGTGTTGACCCGTCCTGTACGAGTAACAACCAATGACATTGTATCGAAATTTGAATAGGAGCAAAATCCTATACAATTTACATAAAACAGGGCAGAGTGTTCAAGTAGTCAGCACTTAACAGTTACAATAACGCTAAACCTTATTAATCACCCAGACCTACAACCACGGTAACACACTTCAGAAATATAAAACGTATAAAGTGATAATAATACAATAATTACACAATATGCTGGGACACAGTTTAGGATTAGCTTGGATATTATACAAGAGAGCCAAAACAAAAATAATACAAACAACATATTACAATAGAATCGTGAGATATAACAGGGTGAGTCCGATTAGTGTTCTGGTTGTTGAAGACTCGCTGGCGCTTCACCTTGGGGTTCGTAAACGTCGTTATAGTAGTACAAAAGAAACACACACAACATTCACTCTACTAGGACGGTGCCGTGTCGTTCTATTATAACTACAGAGCTAAGAGCGAAGTATTGCTATACATGGCACTTTGACCTTTCACCGAAGAGCAGTCTTAAACGCGGAAATAAACATGCCAGATAGCTTTTCCAAAGATCTTCTTTTGTTCGACGATTCCGATATTGATTTGGAGGAAATAATGGGTGACCCACATATTTACCTTGAAATATCTTATGGGTAGAGTTTGACTGTGACATTTCCTGTGTGTGTTCACGTGTGTTTTAAAGGCAATAACGTGAATACAATGAAGGTGTGAATTTCGTAAGAAACATCATTGTTATTTTTAAAAAAAACTGATGGTACAGTTGCTGTTTTGTCAAATTCCTAGTAAAATGTGTTTATATTCATTTTCAGCATCTCATAACCGAAGACTGAAGATACCACTGCACCTAAAGCATCAACATCTAAGGGGTCAGAGCCAGTAAAACTAACGAAGCAACAACCCAAAAAAGTAAGATTTCTTTAGTATATGAATGGACAAAAATAGATTACATCCCTTTTGGGTTATACAGAGAGGATTTAAGGGTTACATTTATGCCTTGGAGAAATTGGGACTTGAGAACACTTATAACAATCTGAGAAGGAGAGGTTAAATTATTATAGTCAGTAATACACTATTCAATATTTATTGTTGGAAAAACCAGGTAGCAAAACTTGGATGTAGTGGTAGAATTTACCCATTCACAGTTCTTTGCAGAAATGAATGTATTTTTGGTAGCATTGAATTTTTTTGGGGCGAGGAAGTTGGTCAAAATTAAACAATATTGTTAGGTAATATTTATCATTTGTTTTCTTTACAGAAATGATCAGAACATTACCAAAGTATTCTGCAGAAGACTATCTGGCTGATTTGGAACCATTAGCTTCTGAGGTATTTAAAAGTCATTACTGTAGATCCAAAGTTTTTCTTCAAAGGAAATATACATGGAGATGCAGTAGTGTCTTTAGCGAAAGTAGCAAGTCAGTCATTGTCCACCCAAACAGGTAATGAGTTACTCAGAGTACCTATACAAGATAGGGACTGGCCTGTGGCAAGCAATTGTAGCTGCTGACACGAAATATTTGCCGTCAAGTGGAAATGAGTTTGAATTACATTCTATAATTTATGTACTGATTCAAATCAACATACTTTAGCAATAATGTACATTTAAGCTTTAGTGCCTGATAATAGTGCAAGTGATGATGTTTTCAGATTAGAACAGATATATATTATGAAAATGATGTTTATGGCACTTAAAGCATGTCACAGTACAGTAAGCACACTGCTGGTAAATGACAACGCATTGAGTAAAGTAGAAGAAAATGCTCTGAGGTATATGAATGGATACATTCCTTATCAGTTGAAGAAGTAAATTGTCAAATTGTTCTTATTTAGAATGCATTAAGGCAATGAGTGATTGCAAGGATGCAAAGCTACTTTTCACAATTTATTTACACTGTACTAGTTAATCATTTTTTTTGAATTTACAGTTTTGTTGGGGGGTACAAGTCTTTATATAAAGTGGGTTGATAGAAAAATGATGGGCTACTTTTTACATTTTCCAAATTTACAGTGTTAATGATCTCTAATTATTAAATTGTGTTTGGGTATTTTATCCAACCTCCGACATACGTAGAAACACAATACAAATAGTACCTTTTATTTCTTTGGCATGAAACTTTTATTATATACAAACATGAGCAAAACTTAAAAATCCATCACCTTGAAGAACTAACAATTCTTTAAAGCCATGTTCTAAACATGAGCAACGCATTGATTTTTTAAAAACAAACAAACTATTTTTAAGGTGAGAGATATCATACTGATATTTTTATAATCCTTTCATTTAATCTGCACTTGTAATGTTTATCATTAGTAGTAAATCTTGGCTCATTTCCCTCATTAGAAAAGCAGGTCCAATGAAATATAAAAACAAATTAAAAAAAACGCTAATAAATAATAGTGTACTTTGATCAGCAAAAAGAATTATGCTGATATAGTAACAATCATAGTTGTAATTCTCTTAAGGTAGAGATGCAGGATGGGAGACTATATTTCTAATTGGCTCTAATTTCTGTAGACATCGCTACCGGTGCATGCTAACTGACAAGGGGGTTTCCGATTAAGGTAACCAAGATGGCATCAAAGAGTGCATGATTTTTCCGCGGTGATTAAAAACAGCATCTCATTGCCGATTTTTTGGTAATTTCCAGGGTATTTTTTTATTTTTAATTAACCGAGCATTTTATGTTTGTGCATTTTGACACTGAAAAGTTAGTTATCATGACAGCAACAGCAGTGTTGTTTGTCAATTGCATCGCAATTCTATCAGCACGATAATCGTTACAGCGAAACGAAAAATGTTTACTTCAGTGTTAAAATGGCGTTGGAGTAAAAATGTGTGGAAACATTTTTTAGTTTCGCCCACAATGTGAAAAAGCTTGAAATCTATGCACCAAGAAAACAAAAGAAATTGTGGCCTTGTTTTGCGCGAAAATTAAATCGCCCTATCGACGCTACCTCATACATGAAAATAAATGAAAAATCAATTTATTTGAGGGAGAAAAAGTTTTCTTATCAGTTACAAGTGTATGTTTTTTTCATTCCGCTTGCATGCTGGAAGCGTCTACGTCTTGTCTGTTTTTGTAGTTTGCTAGTTGATCGTGCTTGAGGTAAGTAAACAGAGAGCCAGGACAGAAAGTCGCACACCTGCTGCTCCGTAACTGAGGCCAGCAATCATTTGCATATGACATCAACAGTGACTTGTCAATCAAAGAGCAATGTAAACAGACTTTCGGGACTTTTAATCACATACGCGTGCGTCGGTTCCCTATATTTTAAAATTGATTTTTGAGTATGTTCCAGGAATGACAATGCTCCGATATTTTAACACTATCTAGCCAAGACTGTCTGGGTAAGAAAAAGCAAAAAAAAAAATGAAATTAATTTTTTACAATAGTTCAAACTCACACAACAATTGATAAGTTGCCGATGAATTAGTTTCACTTTTAAAAAATATATATAGAAAAACAAAATTAGTAAATAAATACATTAATTAATAACTAGCTTTTTTTCAAGTTAAGCTAATATTTTTTTTTTAAATGTAACACGTTTCTTCATAACCGTGCTAGATTGCTTAGCCAGAACCACCGGCGTGGCGCGGCACGGACAGTACCCGATGCAAGGAGTTGGAAGACTACAAAGATGGACGATTTCACCCCTTCCCCCACAGAAAGTCATTTACAACATCCTTCATAAAATAATAGATTACTAAATAATAGTACAATACGTACAATAATGCAATCAATAATAAAAGAAATGACAATATACACCACTACAGCCTCAGAAATTCCCTACACCAATGTGGGTGTATGTGTAAAATACTAATGTTACTGGTAACAATTACCATTGTCTTTGTATTTAGCCAGCAGTGTTAGCTATGCAGATCAAAATTGAGGATTTCTATGTCCAACTTCCAAAATGCCCTCAACCAGCACGCTGTTTACTGGCTTGACATTTAGTGGTCTCCGCCATTGACCTGGCGAAGTTCTCCAACCCGCATACAGCATAGTCCGTGTCTCTTCACAACTTGCACGGAGAGACCAAGACCTGCTCTCACATCGGTCGCCAAGAACCGCCTTTACATGTGCTCCCGATCCCCCTCGAAGAGGAGTGCAGGAGTGGAGACAAAATCGATTCTTCGTTCCAGTAAAAAGGTCAATGACCTTGTCTCTTTAAAGATTCAGCCAAGTTAGTTTCCTTTACGATTTGGCAAGGCTTCACAATGTTCTCCAGCCAAGTTAGGCATACAGATTTATAGTAATTCTCACCTTTGTGCAAATACGTTGTTTTCTATAAGGTCATGATTATAAGCCACACTCTTTTACCAAGAGCATGCCGAGGTGGCATTTTGATGTCCTGACCACAAAGTATACGTATGTAGGTATTCCTACCTGGCTTTATGTTCACACTCTCTAGGACTGGACATTAATAGTTAAACGAACAGACTAATTGTGATAGATTTTCTGACGAATCATGTGGAAGATATAAAGTGATATGCTGTACGTAGTTGGTACTACAGAAACAACCCTTACTGTAAGTGTGAGTAGTCTTCAACACCAATTTGCCTTGAAGTGTGTAGTTTTAGAGCTTGTGGTAAATAACAAAAATGGTTTCTTTATAAGACGAGAATATGTCATTAATTAAAACTACATCCATATGTAGACAGTATTGTAAACAGCTATGAAGTTATAGTCATATTAAATGTTACATGGGTATATTCGTTCAGTTGTATAGAAGTAACAGCTGCCTGTTTTTATGGAATTTACGCTGCGTAACTAACATCTGTCTGGGTAATTAATCAGTATTACTACAGTGGTCATAATGTTTCGACATCCATGCCAGGCTAACTTCAGCCTGGAAATACAGTAAATGTCATAGCTAAGTTTGGAGTGGAAAATACACTATTCGTAGCCAAAGCTGAGACGCGGGGTTCTTATTTAGTTATATATATGTGTACTGAAACGTCAATTGTGATTGTGGTGTTCGGGACACACACCCAGTCGGCTTTCAGTGTTTCAATTAAATCGATATCAACTTGCTGTTCAACTTACGTTCCACAAATTTAACCGTGTTCTAACGTTGCATCCAGTCCTATCGACATCATACGGAGATGATAACGTATTCATTTACGTCATTGACCTTGTGTACAAAATGTTGCATCTGTACATTAACATTTTATGGAACATTTAAAGTCTCGTGTTCAGGTTAAAATGTTTAATATGTGTTTGTTCTTGAAGAAGTTCGATCTATGCTCGATCTATCATTAATATGTATTGTATGTTTAACAGAGAGTCCCTAGTTTCTCTCAGTTTAACTTGTCTTGACTGCATAACATGTATGAAACCGTGCTAACTAGACTGGCCCAGCTGTGGTGATTTTTTCAGTTAAAAAATTGGAAAAAATTGTTTTTCGAAAGGTAGGGTGAACGCGGTTACTAGGACTTTGCGTTAACACCTTTATTTCGCTATTTTTTTTTAATTTAAAATTTAAAAAAAAAAAATCGTCCAGACTGTGCCAGTCTACGTACTAGCATATATATTCGAGCATTACTTAATACTCTTGACATTGTGTGCAGAATTGTTTATCGTAGCCCCGTTATTACACTTGCCCTGAGCCGAGATATGATCAACAGTTTAAACAAGAACTAAAGTAAATAAGTAAATAAATAAATATGACAGAGACATTAAAATCAAGTTTATTCACGTATACAGTCACTTATAATGAGAAGCATCATGTGTCATGTTCTCTGATAAAATAACCTATAAACAAAGAAAATACATCAGTGTTAGTATAGTATAATTGTGTAAGAGGAGGAATTGCAATTCAGCATATTACTATAAGGCAGCACATCACATGAGACCTGGTAATGTTACATTTCAGACAGTTTAGATCTAACATAAAATAAGTATTAACTTGCCTTTGCTTATTGTGTATATTTAGTCGCAAAATAACAACAATTTGATTTCTACAGCTGGCATTGTCGTTACAAGTGCCAGCACCCAGATGTACAGCGGCAACACCTTTGAAAAGAAAAATCAAATTTGGATTATACAAAATACCAAAATAAATAAACAATTAATACGCAATGAGAATTTAAAGCTGTTTTTAATAAAACTACTTCAAGGTATTCTCACCAGAAATATGAGGACATGCCATGGAGGTTCCACTTAGTGTTTCATAACAGTAATCACAGTCATACCAGGCGCTTCTAACAGCAACACGAGGTGCAAATTTGTCAAGTCGCCCCAGTTGGAGAAACCTGCTCGATAGTCGTTAACGTCGGTTGCACCAACAGTAATAGCCTAAATTGGATTAAAGTGCGTCATAAGGAATTACTGGTTATAGTCACTTAATGTATTTTTTTCGTAATATATAACATTTTGAACCTATTATCCCAAACCAAGTAGTTTTAATTCTAGTCTATCGATTTGATTATTATATGTGTCCGATATGTATACGTACATCTTCAACTCTTGCAGGTGAAGTATTGTAAGCATCTTGGTCCTCATTGCCAGCTGCGATTGAAGCCGTATAACCGACATCGATAACTCATTGTACGGCATTGTCTAGTGATATACTAGCACCAGCACCAACAGACATGGATACAACAGACTTAGTTGGAGTTTTTCCTCCAGCAACTATTTCATCAAGGCCTATAAATAACATAACACAAGTTGAGTAATAAAGAAATCTTCACTTAAACTATTTTTCATCAAATTAAGATCTACTAATTTCACATTTCACTTATTTGTCTGACGATATTTAGGTCATTCGCAAGATGATGCATCCGAAACATGGTATCACATCTTGGGGGTCACTAGTTCATTCCACCTACCATGGGTGGTGGAACTACAAGTTCTATAAATAATCAGATTTTAGTCAATCCATGTAAACCCTAGCTTACCGTCAACCATGTTTTAAATAAGACCACTTCCCTGACAGTTCAATACTCGTACAATGTACAATAATGTGTCTGGCGCAATTGCAACTGTGTTATCTCTTACTGTTCCACCACAATGGGTGCCATAGCCGTTACAGTCTAGACCCTATAAATGAAACAATATAAGCGAACATTCAAAACGTACAAAACACTCACCGTAATTTAAAATCATCAAGACATGCATAGCATATGGTAAATGTGTTTGTGCTACTATGAAAATCTGTGATACATACATAGTTGCTTGAATCGTAGTCCCAGAAGTATGATGCTCGGTTATCAAACTCATCATGTGTCGCAGACCAGTGTATGCGTTGGCACCAGAACCAGTACCTGGACAAAACGAAAAAGGCGCGTGTTCGTTATTTTCTGTAGCTGTTGGAACTTGACACGTAATGTAAAACAAATTGTTGATTTATTTTTATATCTTGTTTCTACAGTAGCTTGTTATTTGCAAGGGGTGGGTAGTGTTACACAAGCTGGTACTGTAAAGTTATCACGCAACCGATAGTCTGTCGTAATCACATCAAGTTATGTCATGTGTTTTATCTGTGAAAGTGAACTGATACCATAGGATAACTTGTGATAGTTCCTAGAATGTTTGATAACAACCGTGCTGCTAGAGTGCTCACCATAAAGGTTCATTCTACCATCAAGATTGTTGCTGCGTTGATCTGTACGGTCCATTCCCCATTCCACTGTGGCTCTTGTGATACCATCATCTTTAATGTACTCAATTTCATCCATATTACGAAGACCATATTATGGAGACCACAAAAAATATATATGTTTTGAACTGCGTATAATTCTTATTACCTAATTCACCACCTATGAAGATATTGTCCGCAACTAAGCCATAGACACGACACGGCCGCCGCTACGAGCACGGCGAGGATCAAGATACGCATTTCAAAAATTATGGTCTGTGAATGAAATCGCAAAATAAACACGTTGTACATATACAAGTTGACTGGATCTTGACCTAATTAGCACGAGTTTGATACATATTCTTATTCAAAGTGAACTTACCTTGTCACGAATGAGTACAATATTGGCTAATTGAGACTTTTACCTCATTATATAGTCTAACAACACAGAGAGGTAACAATAGATACGTCTCGGAAAGTCATAGTTGTGTAAAATTTGATTCACTAAAATAGAAACCTACTTAAAAGACAGTAATAAATTAAATGTTGTTTTAATGAAGCCCCCTATAATTAGATTTGCGTACCAGGTGACGCTGGCAGGGAGTTAAGGGAGTCTGCCACAATAATTAAAACTATTAATATCAAAAATAGACCTAAATGCCTTAATACATAAGAAAAACACACATTGCATGTTTTTATCTATGTATACACTTGTTTGGTTCTCACGTAAATCATCTCATTATCAGTGATTAACAATATGAACTAGTTCAGGGACATTTCTGCCCACCTGAAGTAAACAACCGAGTTAAATAAATTACTGTAAAAAGGGTTAATTATTCACTGGGTTTTAATTTTGCTTATTTCGCTGACTGGAAAATGCGCTAGTTAAAGCCCAGTGAATATGTGAAATTTAGCATAGAACACATTATCTAAATGATAAAACCGTGAATTTAAAACCCACTGAACGTGCCTGAAATGGTAAATCAGCGAAATTTAAACCCAGTGAAAATTAATCATTTTACAGTAATTATTTTAAATACAAACGATCACATATGTATTACAACATGGAACGTGGGATTCGAACACGCGATCACGACACGCGCTTCCTATCCTCGGGGTGGAGCTACGTCACAAGACACTCCACGTTACTAAGACGCGCACCACTCTACATGCATTTCTATGGGCTCTTTTTGCGCTGCTGTGGAACGCTGGCCGAGTCGGCGAAAATTCGAGAAAACAACACAAACTCAACTTTGAAGTAATCCTGAACAGCCAAATTTAGATATGTTACACACGTAGGGGTAATCGTGTTATACTGTTCAGGGGAGTCTCAACCACCATCCCAAAGTACCGTTTTCTGCGAGTTTTTGGCCTTTGTTTTCACCGCCAGGGTTGCCAAGCGATGAAAATGCCCGGATGTCCGCCCCGAGGATACCAAGCACAGCACACCCCTGTGCTAGTATTCTTCAAGTACTTTAACCTTTCATCCATTCACCCTTTAATAATATCAGGAACTTGCTTACAGGTCTAGTGCAGCTCTAATGATTGCTGGGATGAGAGAAACTATGTATATAATGTTTCCTCGGCCATTTCTGCGTTGGATATTGACAGCTGAAAAAATAACCTTGTAAGAAAGATAAGATGCAATATGGGAGATAATTTGTACCATCACACATGCGTATTGGAGAATGCAGCTGTGAATTAGAGTAGCTACAAAAATAAACTTTATTTCGTGATATATGATGATCCAATGTATGTATTTTATTCATATTAGATCTCCATAAAACCATATGTAGGTGATTAGTTTAAACGATGTCCCAAGAAAGAAACAATTGTAGGATTAGATTTAAATGAATGCAATATTAATATTAAACAATCTGCCGCAATTGCTTTATTAGTGAGCATGTGTCCATTGCCGAAATCAGTCACATCGTAATGATTCTGCCTACAGTAAATGAAATTGAAGGGGCGATTCTAATAAAGCAAATACGTAAAACAACACGTAACCCCCAAAACGTCCAACGCCGAACCACGCTATTAGTTGGAATGCACACAACCTCACCCCTCACTTATCTGAACGTAGAAAATAAGCTGATTATTGAACTAGTTCATATTGTTAATTACTAATAATGAGATGAGGTACGTGCGAACCAAACAAATGTATACATGTGTTGACAATGCAATCACAATTTTAAAATCAATTAGGTATATTTTTGATATTAATAGTCTTAATTATTGTGTCGGACCAGCGTCACCTGATACGCAAATTAAGCTATAGGGGCATATTAAAAACAAAATTTAATTTATTACAGTCTTTCAATTAGGGTTCTATTTTAGTTAATCAAATTTTACACAACTATGACTTTCCGAGACGTGTCCATTGTCTAGTACAGTTACATTTGACGTTCAGAACAGTTGGGACCAGCGTATCCGAATGACTATTTTGTCCGCGATGAGCTAGACATAGCGAAACATTTCATCAAGAGCCCCTAGCCTGTGATGGCAAAAACATGTCCATTACGTTGCTTTCAAACGTTTTCCACCTTCTATTACTAAAGCATTCACACCCTTTACAAAGCCAACGCCAAATTGGTATAGTATACAAAAAGTGTAACCACCCACCCACCATCACAAAGAATATCACCGACCAGGGATTAACAAGTGATTATAATCGATATTGCGGCGCCACCCTACCAAAGAGCTCTACGCGAAAGCGGCTACAAACACCAATTAAAATTTGAGCCCCCCACGGATTGAAAAACGGCCGCGCAGTAATGTCGCTTGTACACTTGTTCTACACATCAAAACAAAAAGCGCACGTACTTATTCGAGTATGTCATTGTTCAATCGAACGAGCTGCGACCTACAAGTTGCAATGTATTCATCAACATACAGCATTCAAAAGCAATAACTTACATGTTTTCAGCAATATTGCATATTTAAATACAGGCATGTTATGAAAAAAATATGTCGTTTCAATTTGATTTTTACGATGTCCCAAAATTTTGCAATTTTAACGTATACAATATTTACGCCTAATAATTAGTGAATCATAATTTATCATAGTAACGCATGCACTTACATTTATGACAAAGATGTTTCCATTGTCATAATTTAATAAATCCGCAAACATTAATTAAAGGAAATTGTTTGGATTGTGTGCACCCAATGGAGTGGCGCTTTTAATAATGCAGATACGGTAACATTCCCCTCTCAAACCATGACATGTGTAGACTATTGAACAAGCGAACCAAAGAGTGCAATGTGCGTTTTATCTTGTTATCTAGAACACATTATGGTACCGGAGATGGCTTATCATGCTAGCAACTAACACATGGTAAAAAAAGGGTAAGATGTTATTCTAATACGTCTGACATCAAACCATGAGCAGTTAGACTATACACGGCATCATTTCGCACTTAGGGACTGGTCAGAATGTACAGGAGGGGGTCGGTCGCTGTTTTCTTGGGGGGGGTCACTGATTTTCGTGCAAGTGTTGAATAGAGAGTTACAGTAATTTGTGCAAGCATAAGGGGGAGGGTCGCATTTTTTCGTGCAATGCAACCCTTATGACATAACAGTGAAACTAGCCGACATTTTATGCACAGCCTGGTTGACTGTGTTGCCTCAACAAACTTCTTTCATTCTCATTCAGCAGTTGTATTTACATTGAATGACGTGTTAAAATCTTAAGTTATATTCAGATCTATAATGGGGACCCACTGTCTGATAATTCCAATAATGCACCAGATATGGGAGAAAAACAACAAGTTACGCAAACAGAAAGTTGATTGGCGACTAGAAATTCACCACTGGAGAAAATAATATTCATGTACTGCTGGATTAAAACACATAGATTTATTGTAGCGTAATATTATGATATAGTATGTATTTACCATACCAATAGCCACTGTTTCTTTACATGCATTTTAGCAGATTGTAATTAATATGTAAATATAAGTTTTGCACTACATTACTTAATACCCTCAAATATGACCTTTAAAATGTTATTATCTCAAGCCATGATTACTCAATGTAAGAAGAATTAAGAATTAATTGATCTACTAGTGGTGTGGTTAGCACCTTTCTACTATACACGTACAACCAGTTATCTATGGTGTTCATTCTCATTACACTGCAATGTTTGGCTACAAGGCAGAACTTTCTTCCCCACTCACCCTTCCCTTCACAAATTATTTTGATCTTTTTAGTGTAGGTTTTATAGTATGATTGAAGAATTTTCGTCACATGGATGTATTTATGGCAAGCTAGTGGAAACTTTTGTTGGTATGGTGGCTGTGCTGGCATGCAGGCATAAGCCTACCTATTTAACAAGTCATTGTGAATGACATAGTCCCCGGTGGAATTAGGGGAAATGTTGTTATTCATGCCAAAAATAAAGTTACAGACCAAAATCATAGTTAGTAATTTGGAGTAAATAAATGGCTGGTCTAGTATCAACAGAAATTAGATGTATAAAATTACTCTTCCTAAATCTTAAACGGGATTGTTTTTGACCCGATTGTGCAACGAATTGTCATGAACGTGTGTCATGTATAATTTGAAGAGAAAAAAAACATGTCAACAATATATTTTGAAACAATCAAGATGACTGCCCGTTGGTTTGATTCAAACACGGAACAAATCATCAGGGACATGTATTTCAACATACACATCAAATTTATATCAAATTTGAACAAAAACTGACAAATCCTGTCGAAGAAACCACATTTTTCAAAAAAACATCTATTCCTATATTGATGATGTATGTGCCAAACATGAATGAAAAAAACAACAATCAATTAATTTTTAAACATTTCAAAAAACAAAGTGGCTGCTAATCGACCATCTTTGAGCCAATCCTGAAACGAATCAACATAGACATGTATCATAACAAGTATAATGTATTTACCAAATTTGAACATAAACTGACAAAGCTTGTATAAAATACCACATTTTCAAAAAACAAAATGGCTGCCAGTCAGCCATCTTTGATCCGATCACAAAACAAATCATTATAAACTGATAATGTAATGTAATGTATCTTAAAATGTATAATATTTGTACAAAATTTTAAGAAAAACTGACAAAGCATGCATA